TCTCATTAGAATGTCTGGTAATACATTCAGGGCATCAAGGAGGAAATGAAAAGAAAACATCAGAAGACTAAAGATGAAAGGAGAGCAATACAATAATAGGAGAGAGCTTCTAATTTCTCAACTGTTGCAAATTTTTCTTTAAAGCACCTAACTCTCTTCTGTTTTTAAGCCTTTTTTGTTGCAGAACCATTAGCGCTCTCAACACAACAGCACTCAGACTGGTAAGGAGAAACATGATGCCCAGTTTGATGCTGGGCGTATCATTGTCCCACTTCCTACGACAAGACACAGTGGTTATATGCTCTGAAGGTGGATAAAGAGAAAGGAAGAAAATTGTTGCAATACAGGTACATAAAACCTATTCATTGACATATAGTCACATACACGATTATAAAATGAAAAGGCTATACACAACATCTAGGGATTGTTTTTAGAAACATGATCTTTCTTAATATCTACTAATTCTATGAATATACCATTTGATGACAAGAGCAAATGAGAGATGAGGCAGTTCGCGACACTGGAAGAATGTTCAGACTTTCGCACACACAGACGAAAGGCTGGGGAACATTCACCAAATAGCAATTTACTAGGCTGATTCCAATATAGACTTGCAGGCATTGCAAGAGAATATGAAAGATAATACAGATAAAAATTGTAATCTATAAAAGAAATGAAACACAGAAGATGGGAGAAAATTCATATGAACCTACCATAACATTGTAGTGAAGATTGAAGTGTGATATGTTTTGTTGGTCCTTTTTTTGAAACAGGGTCTCCCTACTTACTCAAAGATACCTTTGAATTCACTGTGCAGCCCATGCTGGCCTTGGAGTCAGTTTTCACCTTAAATTCAACCATAAAGATCCATCTAGATCTTAGCCTTCCAGTGCTAACCTGTTGGTGCTCCACAAAGCTTTCAAAACCCACACCATCTCCATGATGAAGGCCCTGCTGAAATCGCAGTAACATCTCAATCAGTATTTAAGAAAAAGCTAATAGAAAAGAGAAGCAAACCCCCTTTCCACAGACTCAAGGATCCTAAAATCTGTAGGCTTGGCTGTTCTGGAAAGAACATTTCTGAGTAGGAAAGTAAAGCCTGCATACCATTTCAGTTTGTAAAGACAGGGCCACAGATGTGGAAGTGGGCTATTGAAGAGTACAGTCCATCAAGAGCAATAAAATTCAGCATGGAGAAGAGCTCCTAGTTGACTTAAGGAGTGGCATGTTTCTCTTAAAACAATAAGCCATCTGTAATGAATTATTTTGCACAAAGCAATTTGAGTAAGGCAAACGTTAAGTACAGTTATTGCAAATACTACAGGCAATAGTCCATGAGTCAAATTATATGTAGACAGTATCCCAAAGACCATTTTGCTGATTTCTATCCCAAATACTGAGAATTCTTTTTTACTCCAGTTACAATTTTTAAATGGAAGAATGTGATTTCTATCTGAACGGAAGAGAATGAAACACTGGCTGTTTTGTGTTATGATTGGTTTCATTAGGACTAATTTGTTGGCTTTTTCGAACATAGCAAATACAAAAGAAAGCACATAACACCTCCTTGAGATTATGAATTTATGCTTTGTAATCTATCTCTCTACACTCTATACCCAAAACAATTGGTGATACCGGGTAGTTTGGCAAACAGTCATGGAGCAGCTGCTGTGCGCCAGCCATGTAGCAAGTGATGGCTGTATCCAGGTGAATGATTCATTACTTACTCCTCACACTTCTGGTCTAAAACCAGAGCCAGAGATTTACAAAAATAAATGTCACCAAGGTGCTCCATCCTATAATCTAGCCATGTGTGAGCCCAAGGGAAGAGTTGGCCATGTTTCGTAGAAAAAGGTTCTGATGGAGGTACGCTAAATACTTGAGAAAGAATTTATGAGATAGAAGAGGAAGGGAGGCGACAGTGTCTCATCACAGCATTAGGGAAGCACATGACAGGAAGAAAGAAAAATGAGGTAAAGGAACAGAGCAAGAGCAGTCAAGGGCAGAGATCGACAGACTACAGCTTGCAAACTGAATCCAACCATTGCCTGTTTTGTAAATAAAGTTTTATTGGCTTAAAGCCAGCCTCATCCACTCAGTTGTTGCTTATAGCTTCTCTTAAGATACAATGGGAGGGCTGGGGAGATGGCTCAGTGGAATAAGCACTTCCTTGGCAAGCACAAGGGCCTGAGTTCAATCCCCGGTTCCACCAAAAAAAAAAAAAAAAAAAGATACAATGGGAGAGCTCAATAACTGCAATGGAGACCATATGGCCCACAAACCTAAAATACTCTCCATCCTTTTTCAGAAAAAGGTTACTGGTCCCTGTACTGTAGTCTACATATAAAAAAGCAAAATTGGATTCTGTTAATAAAACTAAAAATTAGCATATTCAATAACTAACCAAGTTCACTATGCATCTCCTGAGACGCAAAATTTTAACATGAATACCAGTGAAGAACCAGCAAGATCTCAAATCTACACGAGAAGAAAGACATTAACTAAGTAACTGCTCAAGAGCTATCATCAGAGAAAACAAAAAATTATCAGAATGTCACAAAAGGAGAGATGATTTTCTCTTGGTTTTTCTCTTCCGGATCCCTGCTACAGAAAACCAGCCTGAGGCAACACTTGGGGCCTTGAAGAGTGAGTAGATGTGGTAACCATGCAGAAACTGCATTTGCTCACCTACTATAATAAAAGTACATAATACATATATGATTGTTTGCTCATATGATGTACAATAGAATGTACACCCATGCTCTGAGTTAAGGTTATCACGCCCCTACCACTTTCAAAGTATTAACTGCATGATATATGATATTCCAAAATGTGGTACAGATAGGTTTCTACTGGTTATTTTGACATGGCCTTTGTCTAACATCTATTATTGGGCTCATATTGGGATATTAAAATCCAGAGAAATGTCGAAAGTCTGTATTTAGAGATTTAAAAGTTGTATCATTCCAATTTTAGTGTATGTGCTGCCAAATGCAGCACCAAAAGTTATAAAATGTGTGTAAAACAGCCTTGTCTGGCCGGCCAAATAGCTCAGCGGATTAAAACGCTTGCACTAAGGCACAGGGGCCTGGGCCTAACCCCGGGGCGCGCTGAGACAGCAATTGAGACTGAGCGTGGTGGTGCATGCCTGTTAATCCCAGCTCTTGGAAGGCTGTAAACAGGCGGATCACTACGAGTCTGAGTCTGATCTAGTAGTAAGGCCCTGAACACCATGTAGACCCTTCCCTAAAAATACTAAAAAAAAAAAAAAAAAAAAAAAAAAAAAAAAAAAAGGCCTCATGCCCCACTGCTCTGACTTATAAACAGACTAACAAATCGATAATAATCAGACACATTTGAAACCACTGGCATGATATACTTAATCTTCAAGCTTTAGAAAACTTCTCTTGCTGTGACAAGAACTAGCTGGGTAAATTTCTACCAGAATCTTGCTGCAGGACTCCCCTCACCAGCCTCCTGGAATTTCCTTAACAGAAAACCTTCCCAAATGTACAGATGAGGGAAAAACTGCAAGGCAGGAGAGGGGTGCAGGGGAGCTGCCCTCAGAGCAACTAAAATGCCAGAAGCAGAGAGGGAAGCATCCGCAAGCAATCAGGGCAGCTCCTTAAGCACAGCACCAAATCTGAATCTAAAAAAAAAAAAAAAAAAAATATTGAATTTAAGCTTTAGCTTCAAGTACTATAACAAACAAGAATGTGTCCTCTGTAGACATGTATTCCAAATGTACCAGGTCAGCCATGTGAGAGGCCCAAGGGTTTTCTGATAAGCACGTGTATATCGTGCAAAGAGTTTCAATAAAATGCCAACACTTTAATGACATATATTATTATTTGGATATTGAATTAGGATAATAAACTTTAGCACTAGCAAGATAGCTCAGCAGTCTAAAGCACCTGCTTAGACAAGCTTGGGCAGCCGCAGGGGACCACAGTTCAATCCCTGGCACCACATGCCACACTAGCCCTACCCTCAGGGCAGGCTGAGCAGCTAATAATAATAATAATAATAATAAACTTTAAAAAGTAAAATTTCAAATGCTAATGAAGATATTCGTGTATATATGAATAGTATTATACAGTAGAATTAGTACATATGCTATTTTTCCAGTAAAATAAATATTCAGGTCAACTTGGGTGAACATTGATGTGTAAACTTGAGTAATGATTGATGTTAGTGACATTTCTAATTCCTTTTACAACTATTACACTTAATTCTTTTTAATTTTCCCAGGAACTCATTAAAAGTTGTTTTTTTGTTTGTTTGTTTGGTTGGTTGGGTTTTTTGGTGGTACCAGGGATTGAACTCAGGACCTTGTGCTTGCCAGGCAAGCACTTACTCCACTGAGCTATCTCCCCAGCCTCTAAAAGTCTTTTTAGCTCCAAGAATAAGACACAATCTTATTCTTTAGATTTTTACTCATATGATGGTCAGTGAAATCATATAATACAGCTCTTTCTCTGTTATACTACACAAATTAATGGGCTGAGATCACTTACCAAAAGCTCTAAGTAGAACACTGAGAAAGAGCCTAAAAAATGCCACTGAGCACATGATCTATTCTCGGGAGACTGACTCCCAGTGACTCTGATCTCTACCCCATTTGGGGATACCGTTCACTGAATGGAGGTCAGCTCTGCTTCGCCAGAACTTCATAGGTGGAGAGAACTTCACTGGGTGCAGAGAAGTTGGCCTTCGGAAAACTCATGGGTCGCTCATCTTCAGAGTGGCTGTTGTGTGTCCTTCCCTTTTGCTCAGGGCTTGTTTGCAGCATATGCCGTTTACAAGCACCTGGGTGGTGAGTGTGTGTACATAAAATAATTTCCTTTTAATCCCCTCCCCCAGCCTGCCTCCTAATGTCATCCCCTTCCCTCAGTGACTTTACTAATTGCTTAAAAATTAGTTTTCACAGCAAGACACTCTTGAAGAGAATGGCGATTCAGAGACTCAGAGAGGGTGTTGCAAAAGGAGGTCAAAGACACTGCTTTTGTGAACTATAGATCTCATTAAATCAACGTTGTAAATTTTTTTATCTATTTTTGATAATAGCAATGGGAGAGTGCAAAATCCAGAGTGAATTTCAAACAAAAAGCAATCAACTGAGAGGGTTCATTTGAAAAGTGAAAAATGTAAAAGCACAACTTCTAACATTCATTCAGAACAGGAACAGTACCCAAACATGTAACTTGGAAAAAAGAAGTTTTCAGTAAACTATTTGATTTGAATATCATAAACAAATAAATAAAATTTGAGTCTATTTCAAAAAGAATAAGGAAAAGTTCAGAGGATTGTTCCAGAATAATATACAAAGAAAATGTAGAAGTTTATTTGGTAAGAAATAAAGAAATGAAAAAATCTGGTGATCCAATACAGGTAACATAAAGTTTATACTATGGTATGCTAATTTGGAGCAAGTCCTACAATTTTCCATAGCTTTGATATCATAAGTACTCAAACACAGCTAAATTCAGATGTAACAAATGCAATGGAATCAAAAGAGAAAAATAAACTGAAAACAACAGCTTTGTCAATGTTGTTTCATCCCCTTAGCTACTGAATCTCCTGAGAGCAGTTTCTATTGTTCTATTTGTCCTTCTTAGTTGCATTCTGAAAACGTTTCCCAGGAGCAGTCCTTAATGAAGTTTTGCCTCAGAGTTCCTTCCTAACAAATTTCTGAGGCATGTTAGAAAGTAGACATTACTACTCAAATGGCCGAACTTGTTCCTACTTATTTAGTAGCATTCATGTTTCTTCCGTGTAAAACTTCGGATGCACTTTCATTTCTTCCCATTCTCTCGTCCCCATGTTAACCACCCCGTTTCAGCTGCAGGTTCTTCATCCCCAACAGGAAGCGCCCTTGGCAGACACTTTGGTTGTTGTTCCTAAATTCCTATCCGTATCTTTTCTGCCAATGAGATAAGCATTGCTTTTTAAAATTGAGTTGGAAAAAAATGGAATATTTGGACTTTCCTTTTACAGTTTAATGCTTGTGCCATGACACATCAAAAACCTTCATAAACTTGAATTTTTCCTTCCCTTGCAGGTTTAACTAGGCACAAAGCAGATGGTTATGATGTTCATAGCATTATCATAGGTTAAATAATAGGAGTTCTGACTAGCAAGACCCAAGATTTCTGAACTCTGGGTTCACCTCTACTGTCTTGGGGATCCTCTGACTTGGAGACAATAAGGTGGAAGGACAATCCATGAGATGATATTTTCCTCAGTCTGGACCAGAATGGGAGTGTTCGGGGACTAGGGAGATGCTCCTGTCACACAGCGCGTCTCATCAGAATCACTGTAGGACTGTGGGAGAGGTTTCTCAGAACTCCAAAGCTGCCATTGCTACAATTCCCAGAGGTTTTGATATATTGATATTAGGGGCTTTACATGGATCTGAGGAAATATTTTTTGTAATGTCCAAGTATCATGATTTGAAAAAAAAATTCATTTGAATGCAGGCATCTAAAGACCACTGTGTTTGTAAGCAGTCCCCTGGTTCACTAGAATCATTTTTCTCTGTTTATTCCCTTAGAGATTCACAGAAATAGAAAAGCCGTGTGAGATTTCTTGGTGCAATTTCTTCAAATATTGAAGTCTCAAATTTGGGAGACAATATAAAAGGAAGAAAAGGAGGAATATATTGTGCTGATTAGGTAACAAATTGAAAAACCGTGGGGCATTTCTGCTTTGGACAAAGAAGCGATAGCAGTGGGAGATAAAGCCCTATGTAAATCAGTGGTGAAATTAATACATTTTAAAGGTTATCAGCACAAAACTGCTGAGTGCTATAGTTTGTCATCAGTAAAGGAAATACAAAATCTCTAATTTAATTTGCTTGAATTACCATTTGACTTCTAATGTATAGAATAAAAAGGATTAATGCTATTTTATGAACTAGAATGAGTTTTTTTATTTTCAAATGAGTAAAAAGAGAAGAAATAAAGCTGACACACACCCCAACAAACTTTTAGCTATAGCAGTTTGTTGACTTCTTTACAAAAAGAAATTGAGTTTTATTTGCAATTTTTTCATTCAACTGTAACTCAGATGCAATGTGGGATAGCAGGCTGGTTTCAACCCAAGAGAAGAGGTTCTAAGCTAGGGCAGTGTGGGCATACTGTAGTTTACCCAAGACAACCATCTGCAGTCTAGTTGCTGAACATAAAACTTGACAGAACACAAGCTTTGTTGTTTTTTCCCCTTCCATATGCTTTCCAACGAATATGAAACTCTGAGCTTATGAAATTGGTTTAACAAAAGATGTTTGTGACAATAGCTGTGATAGCAGAATAAATTCAAGTTCTAAAGCTTTCACAGAAGTTAAAATATAGAGTGTTAGAAATATGGGAATTTAAGAGATTAAACTACTCGTTCGAAGATAGTTCAGCCGAAATTCAAAGAATTGAGACTTGACAGAGATTGTGTACTTCATTCAGTTTGGCCTAGAAGTCAGGATAGGAAGCAGACTTACAATCTTTCACCAACTATAAAGAGTCACTCATGGGAAAGGGAGCCTTTTCAAAATCATTTAATCCCTACCACTCCTTCCCCCCACAGGTTCCTCTGTAGGTTTTGGGTATATTTACTGCCAGGAACTCAGAAGTGAATAAGTGATAAGTATATTATGTGACAAAGACGGCTCTCTTTTGAGAACACATTTTCTGGAAGGTATTCTGGGAAATGAATTCTGGTGTGTTTAGCATCTGTGTTAACTAAGGGAGGCTTCCCTTCAGAGAAATGGCCGAGAAGTGATGTCCCTCTGCCTACTTAGCCACTTGAAAGATGTGCCTGAGTAGTTTCAGAAAATAAATTTACTTACTCTTAAATAAAATCTGAAAGGTACAATAGATACTGTGAAATGGAAAGAAACTGTTCAAAGAGAGGGAAGAACTGGAGTGAGGGAAAGGAGATAAGAAAGAAGGGAAAAAGCATTATATATGTAGGTACATAGGATAGCTTGGATAATCATATGGCTGATTTCTGCTGGTTTACTGAAAGAGGTAGTCAATGCTGAAATTCTTTTCTTTCTTCTTGCTTTTTGACCAATTTTTCATGCTTATATGTGAATAGGTAATTTTAAGACAACAATATATAATATAGCAATCGTTGTTGAATTCCTATCATTTTGTTTAGTGAAGTTCTGTATCACTTCTAATAATTTTTTAAAATTGTTTTTCATTCTCTTTAAAAAACCAAAAAAGAAACTGGCAAGTGAAGTAAAGGATAAAGGCCCATGAGGGCTGAACAAAGAAATAATAATTTTGTAAAAAGTTTCCATAATGAACCAACTTAAAGAGAGACAGTGATTCTACTGAAAACAGACAGACAGGGTGGTATAGATGGTCGGAAGATGTGTGCAGACATCTACTTCTCCAGTCATTGCCCTGATGGATATCTTGTGTTCTACATTACTTTCTCATCTTCTGTAAATGGATTTTTGGCTGTCATAAATGCACAATGATTCTTTCAAAGCTCAGTTTGAGGCGGCGACCTAGTGCAGCGGTTTCCTCGCCGGGCTCAAAGCTCAGTTTGACCCTTGCAATAGACTCACCAAAATATGAATATGAAGGGAGTATGATGAACGTCAGACTTAAACCTCACCACCCCCCTCTTTTTTATAGACAGAGAAACTGACTTCAGTAACTAAAGCAGTTTCTCTAACTTGTTGTGTGCAATCTAAGATTAGAATCCAGGTTTCTCCACCTCACTGTGTCTGGCTTCAGAAATGATATGTAGAGGGTTGAGGATATAGCTCAGCGGCACAGAACCTGCTTAGCAAGCACAAGGTCCTGAGTTTAATTCCTGGTAACAGACAAACAAACAAATATCCCAGAAAATGATATGTTGAATGGTGTGCACGTGCTGATTCTGGCATCCATGGTGATGCCATTTTCAGAAATTTGTTGTAAATATCCTTAAAGTTGTTTAACCTTTCTGTGTGTGGTTTCCTCATCTGCATATGAGGAATAAAATAGTCCATATCATATCAAGTTGTTATAAAGATTAACAGGTTTAGTTCAGCCTCAACACTATACCAGCACAATCAATATGAATGCTTAGTAAGAGGACTAGAAACGAAATAGCAGTAAGAAAAGCTGGAGCGATTATCATGGCCATGTGGACACTTGCCTGTGTTATAGTCTAGATCTGCAAAATTAATGCTAACAGAATAATGACAAATAATTTGGTAATTAAGATTATGTATGTAAAATACTTAGCACTTTGCCTGACCCAAGTTGAGCACTGGCTAAATATACACTTTCTCTTCCATTGATAACATAGGCTAACTGATCTGCAGGCCATGGCCTGATGACTTCTGGGCGTTTTGAATTTGCCCAGTTTGTCTAGGCAGTACATCCAGATAGAAAATCTCTAAGATGTATTATATTGCCAGTGTTCTCTGGAGAAATAAAACCAAATGAGATATTTATGTATGAGATTTATTATAGGAATTGTCTAGTGTAATTACGGAGGCTGAAAAGTCCACTCTCTGCCATCTGCAATCCAGAGAAACAGCAAAACAGGGGCTGTAATTCAATCATAGATTGAAAGGCTGAAGCCAGGAAGTGTGATTCTGGAGCTGAAGGTGGGGAAGCAATTGTACCCCCTCCCTCACTTATTTTGGTCTTATTCAGCCCCTGGAGGTATTGAATGATGTCCAGTCACATTAAGTAGGACAGAGTTTCTTCACCTAGTCTACCAATCCAAATGTTAATTTCTTCTAAAACACCTTGGAAATTATATTTTACCAGGAACTTGAGAATCATTTAACCGAGGAAAGCTGAAAAGTGAAACTTGCCATCACATTTTTACTTCTTTTTTTTTTTTTTTTTTTGTGGAACCAGGGATTGAACTCAGGCCCTTGCACTTGCCAGGGAAGCGCTTATTCCACTGAGCCATCTCCCCAGCCCCCCATTTTTACTTCTTAAAACAATTTTAAAAAATATTTTCCTAAAATTATTTTCACTCATGTACTTTACTGACTTCATGA